TAAAAATTAAAACAACTAATATATTTTCCTATTTAATTAGTCTCACCTATCATAAATAACTCTTAATTTATAAAGAAATAAATTAACTCTTATTTAATTTTATTAAATCAAACCTCAACTACTATAATTATTTCCTAATTCATGGAAAAATCAATTAACTTTTATTTATTTTATTAAATGAAATTTAATCATGGAAGAATCAATTAGGAAATAATTACAATTTATTTTAATAATTTAAACAAAAAAGAAGATCGAGGAAGAAGAACCAAAAAATTATTTTAATTTTATTTTAATTCCATTTAATAAAATTAAATAAAAGTTAATTAATTCTTCCATAAACTAGGAAATAATTATAGTAGATGAGATTTGTCACGCCCAGAACCCAAATCTAGGGACGTGGCAGACGCCGTACACTTGTGAAAAGGTCCCACAAATGCACAAGGCTTGGAACTTTATCATACCACAATCTGATACCACAACATCTGAAGATAAAATTTTAAAATTTGCTCTGATATCATAAAATCTCCAAATAAAGTCTAGCTTACAAGATCATGATTTATATCTAAAATTTCATATCCAATTACAATAGCTAGCCTTTTAGCTCGTCACTCCCCTTGTTTCCCGCATCTCGGGTCACACTACCTGAAATGGTGGACAAGAAAAACTATGAGATAAAATATCTCAGTAAGTAAAATATGGATAGCCCGTAAGTAAAATTTTAACATACCTGATAAACAGTTTAACATAACAAAACGTTCAATGATAAACCGTTAATACAGAATAAGATTCAGTTAAATAACAACGCATTCAATGACAAATCATTAATGCAGAAGAAAATTTAGTAGTAGTCTCATCTATAAGTCATGGCTAATGTTTAACACCTATTGGCAGGTGTCAGAAATTACCAATGTGTTCGCCCATTGGCAGGCGTCAGAAGTTTCCAATGTATTATCCCATTGGCAGGATTACTGAATGAACCGGTCCTATCAGTAAACATGTCGACATGTGCTAGCGTTTACTCCCACTAGCGGGCACACGAATAACATGACCATATCAGAGACAAAACCATGCAGGATTTATAGAAAAATTCATAATTCACAATCAATCTTAAATTTCAGAATAAACTAGAAAAATTCCATGTGGGCATGGATTTAACAGAAAAATTAGAATTTACAAAATTCTCAGATCATCAGGACAATTAAGCAAATTCCAAGTAGGCATGCTCTATTCAATGAAAATGAAAATAATTCCATTTCAAACCAATCATGCTCGGTATCAACAAAATCAATTTAAACCTTGCCACCATCTCAAAAATGATTTAAAACATGCTTTGAAATCAAAAGGCGTTACCATAATTTACTTACCTTAAATTGCACAAAATAGAAGGCTTAACCCAAGTGCTAGGATGACAGAACGATCAAGAACCTAATCACAATATTTCAGAATTAATAATCATATGACCAGACATCTCAATTTTATTCTCAGTATAAACTAAATATTTAATCCCTCTTATTGCTGCCCATTAGTGCGTGAACAGTACCATGAACAGTAATTGCAACTTCTAGAATTTGGCAAAACAATAGCTAATTTCACAGGATTTTTCTCCAAAATCTCATAGCAGTCAATTAATACTCAATCACATAAATTCTATTTGAATTAATGCTTAAATTTGTTCTAATGCTACCGGAATTCATCCCCTAATTCAACAAAAATATCCGGACAACATAGGAGCGGCAATTCATGGATATAGTACTAGTTAGGGATTTTAAAACTACTTTTATATATGGGTGATCAAATGTATCATGAGGACTTTTGAGTTGGCCTCCGGTTTGAAAATTAATTATGGGAAGAGTCAGATAGTGGTGGTTGAAGCGGAGGAAGGATGGATTGAGAAAATGGCATACAAGTTGAGTTGCAAGGTGGGAGAGTTACCAATGAAATACCTGGGAATTCCTATTGGTGGGAATCATAGAAAACTAGCAATGTGGCAGCCATTGGTGGATTCTTTCAAAAGGAAACTAGCTAGCTGGAAAGGTCGGCATCTCTCTCTTGCAGGTCGGGTCACGCTCATTAACTCTATGTTGTCTAGCTTGCCTGTGTTCCTGATGTCAGTCTACCTCATTCCAAAAGGTATTCTCAAATCTATTAATAAAATTCGCAGAAGTTTCTTATGGGGAGGTTAGGGAGTAGAGAAAAAAATAAATTGGGTTAGCTGGAAGAGGGTATGTAAGCAAAAAGAACATGGAGGGCTGGGAGTGAGGGATTTGAGAAAATTTAACTTGGCGTTGATGGGAAAGTGGTGGGGGAGATTAGCAACAAATGGAGAAGGCTTATGGAAGAAAGTTATTGTT